AAATATTACCAAACAGACTCTTAACAGTGTATAAAATGATAGCACAACATAACAAATAGCCCAGAAAAGCATGCCTTAAGTGAGAGAGACGTTTCCAGTGTGGCTGGTCTAGGCTGGCAGACGGCTCTGCTTCAGCAGGTCGCCCAGAGGCCTAGGTTCCTTTCACTTTGTTGCTAGGTCATTCCTGAGAGCACTGAACTCATCTGAAAGACGGAAGCTGGGCCACTCCCACGGCAATGTTGTGGTCAGCACAACATGGGGGAAACCCGAGTCCAGGAACAGCAGTGATCCTTTCAGTAGGAGCTACCTAGAGGCTGCACCGTCCCTTCTGGCGTGACTGGAATCTCTCTGGGAAGCTGTGTTTCAGGAAGAGATGAATGGATTTTTGGGAGATAATTGGCAATCTGCCACAGCAGGAATAATTTTAACAAAAGACATGCAAATTCTATATACAGGCTATCATAAGATCTTATTAAAGAACACCCAAGAAAATGGAATGATAGTCATGATTTGGAGAGGAATACTCAATGTCAAGATGTTGTTTATTCTCTCCAAATTCTAAATAAAGGTGAATGGAGTTTTCATTGAAATTGCCAGGTTGGCGCTAAAGAAGCATATGGTAGATGAACTTGCTCTAGCTGATACAAGGACCTATAATAAATCTGCAGCACCTATGCACTGGATATTAGTATGGGAAGAGACAAACTGACCAGTAGAACAAAGTGAGCAGTTCAGGAAGAAGCCCACGTGTGTCTGGAGCTCTGGGACACAAAGGAAGTGACACTGCGGACGACTGAGGGGAGAAGGGCCTGCTTCATAAGTGGTCTGGAACATCTGAGTATTCACATGGATGAAATTGCAGTTGGAGTCTCATCTCACACAAACACCAAAAATCAATTCCAATTGATTAAGTACTTAAAATGTGAAAGGCAGAACTTTGATATTTTTAGGACAAAATATAGGATAGTATCTTTCAGAATTTCTTAAACACAACACAGAAACTCATCAATGAAAGAGTTGATAAATTTGATTATTTTAAATATTAAGACTACTTCAAAAAATACCATAAAGCAAATGGAAAACAGAAACTCATCAATGAAAGAGTTGATAAATTTGATTATTTTAAATATTAAGACTACTTCAAAAAATACCATAAAGCAAATGGAAATTAAGTCCTTCACTGGGAGAACATATTTGTAATACATATAATCAGGAAGAATCAGTATCCAGAATATACAATGAACGTCTATAAATCCATAAGATAAATGACTAAATACAATTGAAAAATGTGCAAAAGACATGCACTGGTATTTCACAGAAGAGGAAATATGTCTGGCACATAACCGTAAGGAGAGTTCTGTTTCATTAGTAATCAGGGAAATACCAAGTAGGACTCCAGTTAGATGACATTTCATACCCACCAGCTTGCCACCAAGGAAGATGTCTGACTATAGAAAGTGTTGGAAAGAATGCGGATAACTGAGATATCTCATATATTGCTGGTGGAAAGGTACATTGGTTCAGCCAGGGTTTCCATTGGTCCTTTGCAAAAATATTTAGCATTATCTTGAATGTTTTTTGATAAACAAGGTGACTTTTATGAGATGTTCATATGGATTCATAATTTTTTAAAAAGCTGAAAACAATCCAATAGGAAAATGATGGACATTACGTAGTGGTGAAAAATGAATGAACTTCAATTATGTGCCGTAACATAGACAAGTCTTAGAAACATAATGTTGAGTGAAAACAGCAAGTTGAAGACCCCCATTAAGCATGAGGCCATTTTTATAAGGCTGAAAAAACCAAATTCACAAATACATTATTCAATTATATATGCATATATGATAAACTTATTTTTTAAAGAAAGGCAAGAGAATAATGGGCATAAAATACAGAACACAGGTTCCCCTGGGGGTGGAGTGAGGAGGAAGGAAGGGGACAGAGGAGTTGCTCCTGATGGATGCAAGTTATTGGCTGGGTTATGGGTTCATCTGTGTTATTTGTTTGATAACATAGGTACATGTTACTTATATTCTGCTGTATGTTCCAATGTTATATTTAAAATCAGATAAAGAAAAAGGGAAGAAATTGGATACTATTTATAGTTATCAAATTTGCAAACATTTTAAAGGAGATTAAAAGAGAAGTGAAACAGTGAAGTGAACAGGAGTATAAATTGGTGTAGCCTTTTTATTTGGGTTGCTTTCCCTCTCTGTTATATATCATATATACAGTATATATTATACATATACACATGCCACACATATATGATATATATATATATGCTGCACAAATATTTTATATAAGCATATACACACCTGTATACAATATATACACATATACATACATATATACACTTATACACATATAATTTATTATATGTACATATAGTCATAAACAAGTTAATATTTTCTAACCCAGTAATTCAATTTTGGGAAAATAAAAGCTAGTCCCACCCCTGAAATTTAAAAAAAGCTCAAAATTAACTCTTGAAATTGGGAGGAAAGTTATGAACACAAAGATGCAGTTAGCAAGCTCTTTTCCACCTGGGCACTTGTCACGTTCCCTTCCCTCGGAGCCCCACAGCCGGAGGCACAGCCAGGCATACAAGTGCCAGTGGACATCTAATATCGGGACCCTGCTCTCTGCATTTCCATCATGTCCTCCTATTTCTTTCTTCCCTGGTCCTTGCACTTGAGTCTGACATTACCCAGAATGTAAATTCCCTGAGAGGCGGGACCATGTCAGCGTGGTCCTCACACTGTGTTGGGACAAAGTAGGTGCCCAAGGAGCACCTGTGGTGAAATGAATGCTGAGGAAAAAGCCTTTATTGGACCAAATGGGTCAAGATATGGGAGGCCTGGAGGGATGTAAGTAAGTTGTGTACCGATATTGTGCACATTTTATCATCATGTCTGGTTTTGGGGTCAATACTCACTGTTCTCCAGAGAAAAGCCTTTCTGAGCTCCCAGGCGAAATGCTAGGCGATTCTCATTGCCCTTAAAAAGCCTCTGGCAAGGCTTCTGTGACGAGGTTTTAGGCGCTGTAGCATACAACTGAGGAGTCTGAGGTGTTAGGGAGACTGGTTTGAATATATCAGATTTCCTGGAAGAGTCTTTGCATGCTATAGATTGTGTTAAAATCTCTGTATACTTTCTCCGTAGTCTTTGCTGTAGTAACTGAAGCCTATTCCACCATAAGTACACAAAACAAGCAAAGGGTAGCAAAGAACATGTTTTTGGATATAGAGTATTTTAGTTACAGCCCTAAATTAATGTCACATTCTCAAGAGACTCATAAGGCATTAGAAATTCGTGTCGCATCAAGAAGATTGCAGCCATTTTTATTCTACCGATGTTTCAGCCACGCAAAATATAATTGCCTGGGGGGAATTTATCTTAGGTTTAGGGACAGAATTTATGATTTTTGTATTATTTGAGGAGTCTCAAAGTGGAGGAAAGACTGACCTTCAGGGCAAACACAAGAGGAAAATGTACACATCTGAGGCAAAACGCAGTCAAACCCAGCCGACGCAGAAGCCAGGACCAGGGAGGGCCTGGTGCAGGGGTCTCCCTGCCCTACAGCCTGGAGGAGCCGGTCTGCACAGAGCCAGCCCAGGGATGTAAAACAAGACGGAAAAGGCCGTTCCCTTCCCCATGCAGGCTTCCGAGCTTGAGTCCGGCTGGGAGCTGGTGGGTGGCGAGAGGGGAGTGGGGTGGGCTTACGTGGAACGAGACCGAAGTTTCAATTTGGATTGGACTGGGCTTTTTAATACCAGAGAATCAGACTTTTTTTTTTTTTTTAACCTGAAAGTGACAGGAAAAGCTATGAAATCTTGCCCTAGATTCTTCCAGAGGAGAGAGAGAGAATAATTTTAAAAGACAGTGGTGCGGAAAAAGGTACTTTTGCTCGATTTCCCTTCACCAAGTAGTGCAGCGTGTTTCAAAAATGAACAGGTATAAAATATGCCTTAACATGGTAGTTTGGAAAAAGACACCCCTTTCCCTTAAAAACAAAACAAAACAAAACAAAACACGTAAAGAGTGCGAGGACCAGCACTAGCATTTGATTTTTATAAGGCAGATGTTCTTTCCATTGCGGTTTGACCCGGAGGCGGCGGAAGTTCTCCCATCTCGCTTATCTTTTCAAGCCTTACAGGTGCACTGCTCGAGAGAGCCGGGAGCATTTCTTTAAGAAGTCTTTACTATATTTAGTCCTGAGAGGTTCTCTAGAACCTCTCGATCAGTGTTAGGCACATTCAGTGCTTATTAAACACAGACATGAATCCGATTCTAGAAAGCAACACCTGCTTTTTCCGCAAAGGTCAATCTTCCAGAGGTCAACGTTGGGCTCCTCGTGCATCAGGAATCCCACTGTGCTCCAAGTTCTTCCTGGGGCTGAACCCAAATTCCTGCAGCTGAACCCAAATTCTTGCTGCTATCAAATTTGAAGCGGCTCCCTCTTCTGTCCTCGGAAGACAACAGAAGATCCCACTCCTCGAAGCCCACTGCCCCGCAGACCCCGCCGCCTCGGCCTCACGCCACCCGCCGGGGTCGCCCGGGGCGCTGGCACCGCGGTGGCGCAGCGAGGCCTGCCCGGAGCTGGAGCGGGACGGC